ATTTTTTTAATATTCCACACTCAAAAAAATTTTGAAAATTTTTAAATTTTTTAAATAAATTTTTTTTTCTTTCAATAATTATTTTTTTGAATTAAATTTTAAAAAGAGTTTGGATATGAGTTTTGAATAGAATTTTCAATAGAGTTTTAAGTTGTGTGCTTGGTTATGAGTTATGAGTTTTTAAATTAAGTTTTGAAAACTTTTTTCAAAACTCATAATCAAATAATTTTTCACAAACTCAACACTCATTTTAAAAATTCAATACTCAATTCAAAACTCTTTTCAAAACACATAACCAAACAAATTTTCTCTTTTCAAATCATAATTCTCAAAACTCACAAACTCAAAACACAACTCCACACTCAAATTATAATTCTAAACAAAAACCAAACACTGCCCAAGTGATTCAAGAGGTTCACGTTGTCCAGTCTAAAAAAAAAATTTTGCTTCGCATGGTCAAAGTAAACAGAAAAAACTAATAAAATGGAAATTCTATTGGGTATATACCATATGTACTTTTGCTCATAATTTTTTTTTTATTTTTTTATTATGATTTATTTTATTATTAGTTATAGCACATTATGATAGTGGTTATGATATTTGATAATGCAACTTGGTCTGTAGGAGATGGGTCGGACTGATCCAAGCACTCCATGGGTTGACTAACCTTCGCCTTCCTAGTTACACCTGCAACAAGTCCAGTAGGAAGGTTCTGAAATGGAGGTGGTTCCTTCATGTGGACCCTCCGACGGTCAAATTAGCTGAGTGTATAGAGGTAATGGAAACTTAGAAGAAGTTGAGAGTAGAGAAAGAGAGAGAGTGAAGGATCTGTTACCAAATGTTCCTTAGAAGCTTGCTTATGTCCTTTACTAATCATTTCCTTGTCGATTCATGTCGTTCCATTGCCCAAAAGTCTACCACTTACTTGCCGTCAGCCATGGTGATTTCACCACACCCCAAAGTGAGGGGTCTTATTGCATTTAATGTGTTGACAGTCTCATTTAATGCTTGGCACATAAGCTCAATAACTCTGCAAAATCTTTGTCTACCACATGGCTAATTTCCTACTAGACACATGTCTAGCTACAACCGGGCTTGGACCACTACGGGTTCTCTGTTGGGCCTGCTACTAGGCCTTATCTGCTGAGGTTTATAGTGATAACTAACCAAGTGATCGTCCGGGCAGCCCAGGAGGACCATGACTCAACGCCTCGAAGTGTGCCTTCAGAGTTGGGTCAGGTAAATTTTTAGGATATCTGGTAACAAGAAAAGGCATTGAGGCCAGCCCAGACCAAATCAAGGCCATCCTAGAACTACAGAGTCCGACATCGGCAAAACAAGTTCAAGTGCTTACTGGAAGGGCCGCAGCCCTAAACAGATTCATCAGCAGAAGCTCAGACAAGTGCAGACCCTTCTTTAACCTGGTGAAAAAAGCCACAGACTTCCTATGGACAGAAGAATGTGAAGCTGCCTTAGCCGACCTAAAAAAGTACTTGACCACAACCCCGGTCCTTTCTAACCCAGTTCCAAGGGAGGAATTGTTTTTGTACTTAGCAGTCTCTGAACACGCAGTCAGTGCAGTGCTAATCCGAAAGGAAAAAGGGGAGCAGAAGACTGTCTATTATGTAAGTAAGACTTTGGCTGACGCAGAAACAAGATACCTACCACCGGAAAATTTAATGCTAGCCTTGGTAATGGCTTCAAAAAAATTGAACCATTACTTTCAGGCACACAAGATTGTGGTCCTAACAGAGCACCCACTGAAGTCCTTGTTACATCAAGAAGACTTAACAGGAAGGATAGCAAAATGGGCAGTAACACTGGGCCAGTTTGACCTAGAATTTAGGCCGAGAACAGCAATAAAAGGCCAAGTTTTGGCCGACTTCGTTGCAGAACTCACACCTGAAGCCATTACACCTCGGGCTCCGTCGAGCCGAGATGAGCATCGCCCCAACAAGCAAAAAGAATCCCAGTCAAAGACAAAAAAGCAAGAGAAAGAAAAGCTCAGACCATGCAGCATCTACATCGGCGATTCATTCAGACTATTCGTCGATGGAAGTTCAAACCGCCAAGGAGCAGGAGCAGGAGTACTGCTGATATCTCCAGATGGAGAAATGGCAGAACAAAGCCAAGGTTATTCCTTAATTCACTTGTTGAAATTTGTAGCAATTTACAAGTTGAAGTTAAGCCAAGGTTATTCCTTAATTCACTTGTTGAAATTTGTAGCAATTTACAAGTTGAAGTTAAGCCGAGATTATTCCTTAGCAGCAGCGGAGGCAGACGAGGTAATTGTTTTTTGTGATTCACAACTCATTGTTAACCAGTCAACAGGAGAATTTGCAGCCAGAGACGAAAGAATGTCTGCATATGCAAAGGAAGTCGTCTGACTGGCAGCCCTATTTCAGAACTGCAGATTACTCCAAGTTAGCCGAGATGACAACACCCACGCCGACGCGTTGGCTAACCTGGCCAGTTCAATTCAAACTGGAAAAACAAGGACAATTATGATCGATTACATGTCGGCCCCGAGCATTGACAAACAAAGCACCAAACAAGAAGCAATGTGCGTAGACTTGGGACCAAGCTGGATGGATGCAATCATTGCATTCCTAAAAGAAGGGAAGCTGCCAGAAGACCATAAAGAAGCACATAAAATTAGACTGAAATCGGCCAGATTCAGTCTAACAGCAGAAGGCCATCTCTACAGGAGGTCCTTCACTGGACCACTTTTAAGGTGCGTACACCCCTTGCAGGTAGAAGATTTTCTTTACGAAATTCATGAAGGAATTTGTGGAAGCTATGCTGGGGGCAGGTCGTTAGCCCACAGGGCCATTACCCAGGGATATTGGTGGCCCTACATGCAAAAGGATGCCGAAGCCTATGTAAAGAAGTGTGAACAATGTCAAAGATTTGCACCTTTGATACATCAGCCAGCTCCCGACCTGAACCCAGTATCCAGCCCTTGGCCGTTCGCTCAATGGGGCATGGATCTGGTCGGACAACTTCCCCAGGCAACTGGGCAGAGAAAATACTTACTGGTAGCAACAAACTGCTTTACAAAATGGATAGAGGCAGAACCTCTCGCCAAAATCCGAGATGTGGACGTCAAAATTTTTATATGGAGAAACATTATTACCAGATTTGGGATTCCAAGAGCAATAGTTGCCGACAACGGAACACAGTTCGACAGCAAACTTATCAAAAACTTTTGTGCAAAATTCCACCAGATTTGGGATTCCAAGAGCAATTGTTGCCGACAACGGGACAAAGTTCGACAGCAAACTCATCAAAAACTTTTGCACAAAATTCAAGATCAAGAATTATTTCTCAACACCAAGTTTTCCTCAAAGTAATGGGCAAGCAGAAGCATCCAACAAAGTAATCCTGGATGGAATAAAGAAGAGGCTGCAGACAGCAAAAGGAAAGTGGATGGACGAATTGCCCAACGTACTTTGGGCATATCGAACTACGCCGAGAAGATCAACAGGAGAATCCCCCTTTGCCATGGCCTATGGCACAGAAGCAGTCATCCCATTAGAGATCGGCATCCCAGAGGTCAGAACCCAGGGAGTAGAGAATGGCACCAATGGCATACTCTTAGCCCGAGACTTGGATTTGTTGGAAGAACGAAGAGAGAAAGCTGCAATTCAGCTCGCAGTATACCAACAACAGCTTGTCAGAGCTTACAACAAGAAGGTTAATCCAAGAGATTTTCAAGTTGGCGACCTAGTCCTAAGAAAAATTGTTGGCAACAAGAAGGATCCCAGAGAGGGCAAGCTTAGCCCAAACTGGGAAGGACCTTACAGAATTACTTCGATATTGGGCAATGGAGCATACCGGCTTGAAGATAATGAGGGCAAAGCATTGCCAAGACCCTGGAACACTTGTAATTTGAAATTTTTTTATCATTAGAAT